AGCGATTAGGTGAATTATTAACAGCAGCTTGCGATTTTTTGACCATTTACAAGAAATGTTAGCCCCAAAAAAACAAGGCATTGACTCCCCAATATTGCACACAGATAAAAGCAAGATTTCTGATCTGCTGCTAAAGCCGTTAATGCCAAAGTCATTGCTTGATGCGGAGGGGCGGCGGCTCTGCTTTGAGCTCCTCCCGAATGTCTGAGCTCCTCACCCTCCCTAAGGCTGAGCCCTGACACCCTGCGGAGGAAGCTCATTTCTGCCGCCTGTATCTGTGATCTCATTCTTTCAGTCACTACCCAAAGCTCATGATCACAGGTGACGGTATGAACGTAGATCGACTGGTAAATCGAAAGCTTCGCCTCCCAGCTGAGCTCCCTCTTTACCACAACAGAATGGTACCTCATCCGCATTACTGCCGACACTGCACCGGTCTGTCTGTCCATCTCCCGCTCCCTTCTTCCCAAAATCCCGAGATACTTAAACTCTCCACCTGAGGCGCTAGCTCGTCCTCCACCAGGAGAAGGTAATCCACCCTTTTCCGATCGATGCTAGTACCCCAAGTACAAATCAGCAAATACGCAGGTATATTCGATGATTCTTGTGAACTCTGGGGTGGCTTTGGGAAACTTTCACAATGTCCAGAATAATTAAATGGATTTAAAGTAGTTTCAGCGTCAATAAGAGACCAGTAAGGATGCAATTCAAAAGTACAGGGTAACATGCAAGAGCCAGTGAAGTAGCCCGCAGTGCACTGTATAAGTGTGTAGAAAAAAGTGCCTTCAATTATTGTTTTTAATTCTTTTATTAATCTTCTCATTCCACATACATACAAGAAGGATCTAAAAGCTCTGATTTCTGACACCAGAAATAATTCTTCTGTTTGATCTATTCATTTTATACGATGAAGGGAGAATTCGCATCACTAATATCGTCATGATATCAGCTGCCAGTTACTGTACTTCTGACACATTAAGGCAGCAATTTAAGATTAAGGATTATTTAGGCTGTGCTGTGCCGCAGACCAAGCTGTTTGCGGCACGGTGAGTCTGTTCTTCTGTTAATATAGAAACATATTCTGCTCTGACTCCTGCTCTGACTCCTGGAGATCCACAAACAGCTGCTCTCTCATTGGTGAGGCTTGCGCTCAATTTTTTCTGCCAGGAGTAACTGGATCGGGTTCCAGGCCTGGATTTCAGCATTGCTGTGGCCAGACTGATAATCCTACATGGGTTAAAGTGGTCAGATGTATGGCCCGCCCCGCACAGAGCTCCTGACAGCTGCCATTAAGCTTGTTCCAGGAGACACGAGGCCTTTCCGTGGACCGTCAACCTCATTATCTGATTTTTTCAGCATTGAACATGAGCATTACTTGAGCATCTGACCACATACAAAGTTAATGGATATAGCCAGCTATTCCTTCTTAAACAAGCGATGTGTGACCATTTAAAATTACTTAAATATTTTTTTGGGATATTGGGTCTGTTACTGTTATGCCTGTTCCCAAGATGAATGACCAGAACACACGGATCTTTTTATGTTTAAAAATAACATGAATTATGGTGAGGATGCTAATTTTCCTCACCTGGGATCTGGAAAAGACAAATTTAATAATGGTATAAAAGGGGGACTGAAATGCTGCAGCATTCAAAAGTTTTAAATCACCTTTTTGTTTAAAATGCATATGAAAAATATTTGATTTCGATTGAATGGATTAATGATTTTGTTTAATGGTTTTGTTTACATTACATTGGTAACGGAGTCCAGACCTGACTTACTTGCGCAGCTAAGAGCTTTGATGTCATTTACATCCATGACATCTTATTTATGACAAGGGAAGCGTTTGCATATCAGACACACTTCTTTGCCAGGTGATTTATCCTGCATAAAAGTTGCAGGACCCCGTGGAAAAACTGGTAATCCCACCGGGCATGGAGAATCTGGGAAATTAGATCCAACCCGTATTTTGATTATTTCCTCCTTTTCAGGCACTGAAAAACCCAACAAAAATGGGGGGGATGAAACAGCAGTCCAGGACAAACAAAAAGATCCCTTTATGACGAGAAACTGGGAAAAGAACACGGCAGTATGGACACATTGGGTTTAGGCTTACGGGTGAGGGGGGGATTCATAAATATTCAGGGAAATAAGAATCAGGTGGAAGAAAAGCTACACAAACACACCCCTGGTCATCCCGGGCCGTGAGGTGTCATTATCATCAAGGACCGCTGAAGCCATTTCAGGCATAACAACAGATACTCTTTCATTTTTCAGCACTGGATTTCCATGGAGTTTAGGAATATTCTTCGGATTCTATACCATAAACGTGCAATTATTTGTGTTATAAGAACACTAAATTTACACTTAAACCACACTATGCATATTCAACTACAGGATTCTTATGATACCCTGAGCAAATCTGGCAGAATCCACAGCTGAGCATAAATGGAACTTAGATTAACCTTCAAATGAAGTACATGTGTAGGTTTTTACCGCCGCTCATTTCAAGACAGCAGTCTGAGTGATTTGCAGGGAAGTTTGAAAAGAAAGAAATTCTTTTGAAGTACCAGTAATCCAGAGCAAAGCTGAAGCCCCAATTGGCCAAATCTCCCACTCAGCCGTCCAACATTCATCCACTGATCTGTACAGACTTGCGGGTGTCACGTCCAGCCTTCCCGCCTGTCTGATCCCCTCGTTTCTCCTCTGGTGTGGCTCTAAAGTCGCCACACCTGGGACTCGTTAGTCTCTTGTCCCCGTCCTCCTGTTAATCACTCACAGCTGCCTTGTGTTTGATCCCTCGTTAGTCAGGTATATTACTGATTCCCAGGCTTGTGCTCCTGTCCTGCCATTGTTACCTGTCAGCATGTTGTATCCTGTCTAGTCCTTTCAATAAACCCCCCTTTCGTGGGTTTTGCTCAATCGTAGTCTGCATTTGGGTCGTCCCTTGTCCGCAGTCATGACAGCAGCAGGCACCTTGATCCTATCCTAGGAGACACAGAGCACAAGGTGGACAGAGACCCAGAAGGGTAGCAGTGGGCAATATGGCAAAAATATCATATCACAATTTTTTAAGGCAGGATCACGATCCACGATCTTATTGCAATTCTTATTCATGCTGGGTTAGACTATTTTGTAAGTTAATGAAAAGTACAATAAAGCGAATTCCCTTTTTTAAAAAAAAAAATATATATATATATATAGCTGTATAAAATAACAAAACATTAAAAATAACAATACACTCTCTTGGGTGTTTTGTTTTCAGGTGGTTAAAAAGGTTCTGATTGCAAACCATGGCAAATTTTGTATATATCTATTGTTTACATTGTGTTGGCTTTGTAAAATCCAAAAAAAAAAAATCCATATTACCGACATCAAATACGTTTTATGGACCAACTCCTCCATGTCGTCCAAGCCGATACAATGCGAAACAGGGAATGTCCCATGTTGTGCATCGCATGTTGGGTCGAGGTCACAAAAGGGAGAGAACTACCTACTGTTTGCTATTACCGGTTTATTGGTGAGTAGGAAAGGCTTTAGATGTGTGTATGAGCAAAGTAACTGCAACTGATAACTGTAGTGTGATGATAACGATCCGTCCATAAAGGCAGATCATGGATACACTGTAATCGGTTATGATCTAACACTGTGAAATGGCCCAGGCTTACTGAAGGGGATGTCACTGCATCTCAGGGCCCAGAAACAACGTCACACACTGTAAGACACTCAGACATGCCTGGATTTGGACTGGGGAGGAACCCATGGCAGAGCAGTGCAGCACGGACCCGGCATGCTCCACTATTACAAAGGAGGGATTGCATTCAGACATTCTGATAACACTGTTCTTGTTGTAAATTCTGGGTTACGGCCCATGTCAGAATGATCCTGCTTTTGATTGTGCTGTGTTGTAATCTTCCTTTTCCTGATAAATCCATGCAATCATGTAATTTGAATTTATATGTGCGGAAAACAGGTGTTTTGTGCAGAATATGTTTTTTACATGTAAAGGAACTTCTTTTCTTTGTCTTGTTTGGTTAATGACATCATCTGCATGAAATTAATTAGTGTTAATACAGAGGAAAGTTATTACCGTGCCGCTCTTAGTGATGTCATAGGTAGCAGACGTTAGATGCTTTGCATGATGATGTGGCTCTGATCGTAGCTCATGCCCCAGATGAACAAAGGGCGAGACATGTCAGTCTTCCTGGACAGAGACATCATTTTCTAAGCCACAGACATTCCTGCATAATTACTGAAACTTTCCTGAAAGCCCTCAAACACTTTCTTTCTTTGTGATGCATTTCTACAGTGTTTCTCAACCCGGTCCTCAGGCTCCCCAACACTCCACATTTTTGCTCCCTCCCACGTCCCGTCACGCCTGTATCAGGCATTCGGTGTTTTTCATTGGCTGGGAACTGGGAGGGTGCAAAACCATGGACTGACTGAGGGCTCTGGACTCCGGGGTTCCCCACAACACACTTTGCTGAGCACAGGGACACCTACAATGAATTTTGCCAGCCCACAATCCCACGGGTGCGAGGGGAAAATGGCCAATCTAGCCCTGGTCAGACCATGGCCTAATCTGTCCAGCTAGATCATTTGGGATAAATATTCTAATAATATTGTAATATTTAATAAACAGCATCCCAGATGCAGATCCTGGCAATAGTTTGGTGTCCATCTTATGCCAATATGCCACTGTGTCCACCAAAGAATGTCAGCCCCAAAGAGTAAATTCCATTTGGGACTTAAGTACAAACAGATCACCGACTGGTTATTTGCTTTGTTATATTCTTTGCTTTGATAACATCTCTCCATTTAAGTAGCTTGATGTCTGACAGCAGTAACGCATCTCCTGGGGCATAGTGAGGCATGACGGCATGTTCTCCTGAAGGCTTGGGCAGAAGGCAGGACAGGCCTCAGGACAGGGTCCTGCCTTTTGGGGTACCAGCGGCGCGCAGCATTCCGCGCCGGAATAATCCGGCAGATATCCCGCGCGTCGGGCCCGTTAGCCAGCGCTGGCTCCGGCACGCGCCGAAACGAGAGCACACGAGAAGCGCCACCTGGACTAGATTCCCGCATTCTGGTCTGGTCACGGAATCCATCGACTACCCGGAGCAAAGGGACCTCTGACAAAAGAAATGAAGAAAACAGACAGAAAATGTAACTCATACGTCTTCCTGGGGATTACTTTCATTTTTACAGCAATAATCTAATCAGCGACTCTGAAAAACTGTTTTAGACAGTCTTGAACACTATCAGATAAATATACAATATATAATTTCAGGGTAGCTGCTAGAATAATTTGAAACATCTGCTTCTTTTCTGCTTACCTTTATCTCTTTCATACATTTTTTTTTCTGTGCCAGAAGCTCCAATCCTATCTCTCCATATAGGAATCGCGGCAAAATTTCATGAAGTACATCTTTGAAGCACACCATGCACGAGAGTACAGATGCCCATGAAGGCATCGCTTTTCCCAGAGCTTCCTTAATGCACTCTGCTCACCAACCATCTCCTTCATGAAGTGGGCATTGTGGCCTGAGCTGCATTCAGATGAAAAGGTAATTTATTTGGCGTCTGCACATGCAGGTACATTCAGGGATGTAAATTATGGGGGGATGAGGGGGTTGTAACCCCCCAATAATTAAAACCAGACAATGCAGCCCCCTGGACCCCCTTAAATGGGTGAAGACCTCAACCCCCCCAACGCTCAACCCAAAATGATGCCCTTGGATACATTGTAGTTTTTTTTTTCACGCTGGCCATTGTGCTGTCCTGTCAGACACACACACGCACACACACACACGCACACAGACACACACACACACACACACAGCAAAGGTTGGGGCCTGAGCACGAAAGGGCAGACAAGAGGCACCGACGCCAAACCTGTTGAGACACACACCATTTCCTTCAGCCGCCCCCCCACCCCCCCATTCAGTGATGCCATATGTGCAGATAGGCTTCCGGCACTGATGTATGCAGCTGATGTACGTTCACTGCCCCCCCGACCTCAGCTTTGCAGACATGACTCAACACGCCGGAGTATTCCATAGTCACCCACATCTGCTTTCCATCCCTCTGCTGACGACTGGTCTGTGCACACCGGCACGCATCTGTCATCTCGTGCTGTCTTGTGTCGCAGCGTAACCCCCCCCCCCCCCCGCCAAGCTGCCGACGGCAGACGGCTAACTCGGGTTAAGACGTCTTGTTTTTCTGCCGGGAACCTGTGAAGGATTAACGATAGCGGCACAGGGGGGAGCTCTTTGCTCCGTCTGTGAGGGCGGGATGCAGCGGTTAATATGAAAACGGGTTTCCCTTCATAGTGACACGGGACAGCGGCGGTTTTTCATTAAAAAACATCATGCATTTCAGGAGTAGCTCTCCGAATTTTAACTTTAAAGTTTAACTAAAATCCTTAACAGAACTTGTCCTATGTGACACGTGTGTCACTTTCCTTACATTAGTGCATGATGCCTATTTTTTATAAAGGGGAAAAAGTCTGATCAAAGCAGCAATGGATGCAGCTTTGTGACCCCCCCACTTCCCCATGAGTTTTTTTTTTCATTTGATTTTAAATTGTTTGTAACTATCACTGAAAGTATTATTAATACCAGAGAATGTTTTAGATGGCAATCAAAACTTTAATGGATCACTAGACTCTTCTGGAGACCTATTAAAGGCGATATTGCATTTGTTGTAAATCTTGCCTTTTTCACCCTAATTTTGTTTTATTTGCTTTCTCTTTCATGCATTTCTGCTTGAGTCGACTCCTCGCACTGCTTGTGTGGATCATGTGATAAAGCGTCCTCAAAGGTTGGGACTTTTTCCAGCGGAACCACTTACCCACGCGCAGAAGAAAGAGGCCCATCTTAACAGCAGTGCGGCACACTGCAGAAATGCCAGCAGAGCCAGTGCTTCATGTCAGAGATGAAAGAGGCCCATCTTAACAGCAGTGCGGCACACTGCAGAAATGGCAGCAGAGCCAGTGCTTCATGTCAGAGATGAAAGAGGTTTAAAATGTTAACAAATATACACAACACATGACTCTCCCATCCATATTTAAAACACAACTCCAGACATCCAGCAATTCACAGCCTTTTCTGGGAAACACAGGGTGCACACTGTAGATTTGATGTCAAACACACACATTCACACAAACCCTCACACACTAAAGGCTATTTTGAGTCAGCGTGTCACATGACCTGTCACATGACCTGTCACATGACCTACATGCACTGGAGGCCAAAACCCACATGTGCAGGGGAACCTCATGAAAACTCAAGCCTGATTTGAGTCAGATTCAAAGAGGAAGCCAGGGAGAGGTAAGGTGAGAGCACAATTCTGTGACACTCTGTACTGCAGTCTATGTAAAATCTATGCACATTTAAAAGGATTTTCAACACATTAAACGATTTCACTTTATATATTCTGTTATTATATAATGGATGAAGATATCTTAGAGAAATATGAAATTAAAATGCTTATTTATATACATTCTCTCCCAAACCAGCATAAAACCAGCTGCCCCCCAGGAAAGATTCTTGCTCTCAGTTAATGGAGGGCTTTGTACAATAAAGTAAGCATTTTATTAATATTCAACATGCCCGAGAGGACCCTCCATGCTTCCTCTGCAGAGCCACACTTCAGCTGTTTGTCATCAGTACGTCTCTGTGAGGATCACACTGCCTCACCGATTTCTCCATGTCATCTTCCTTCTGTCCTGCATAACATCCTACAAAAACGCTGCCTCACATTCTGGCCTTTCTGCAAAGTGGTGGTACGGTAGTAGTCCTGGTTTTCAAAAAAACTGCCAATTCAAAATGTCACCCAGAATTTCCTCCTCAAGTCCGCCCTTCTCTTCCAGAGTTTGGAGACTCTGCTGAGTGCTGACATGTGGACGGTTTTACCCCAAAAGCAAGAACAATTAATGGGGCTGAAAGGAAACGTTTAAGCCTGTTGACAGAAGTTAGGTGGTTTAACGTGGCACCGCTGCCTCGCACCTCTGGCCCTGAGTCCGGTCCCATTGCTGCTTGCAGATCCGGATCCTTTCCCTGCACCCCTCAGACAGCCCCAGCGCTGCTTGTCCGTCAGGCAACAGTGACTATCAGCCCCCAAATAAGCATCTTCCGTGACAGAAGCAGACTCACAACATGCACAGACTGACATATCTAACAGCATCACAGCACCAAAAATAAACCATGAAGGTTGCTTTCAATTCCTGGCAGAAATTAACATGCCAAAACACCCCTTTGACTTGTCAATGAAAGGTCACCTGATTGAGATCAGTCTTACTTACAGTTACGCCACACTGGTTAAATTGTTTTCTTATGCGCCTGCTTAGCCATACTGTTGCAGAATGGCAGTGGACTGTTGTAGAACGTTCTTGCTATAATCAGATACTAATTGCATTAACATGCTGGACTATGGTGCCTGTCTGTGATAATATATGGACGAATGCCTCATTTACATTTTAGCAAATATCTTCCTTTATCCAAAGCAGCACACATTTTTTGAGAGAAGTAGGGTAAGTGGTAACACTTTAGTTGGGGGGCAAATACTTAGTAACTCATTTACTAATGCAGGACAAATCAAGAATAAACATAGTCGCTACTTGAGATAACAGGTGTGTCACAATTCATTAATGATGAATAAAGATGAGATCAGTGTTTTTGTATAATTCATTATTTGTTCCTTCACAAAAGTTTATAGAATTAGCAGATACTGTAAGAAATAACGGAGGGCCGGTGTCGGTGCTGATTTTTGGGATGGCCTCCCAATCAGCCAATCACAGTGGGTCCCCAGGACCACTGCTTTATTATTGGCTGATTGAGAGGTGATCCCCAAAAGCCGCAGCGGCTCTCCACAGAACAGGTTCCCCACCCCTGAAATATAGTAACTGCTTGGGATAAAAGATCTCACAATTCATTAATGATGAACAAACATGAGATCAGTATGTAACTAACAGTTAGTTTGTGGTTCATTAATACATAGTGTAAGTAGTAGCATAATTCTGCATTATTTGTGCCTCCTCAAGTATTATGGGGTCAGATGAAGCTTGGAATGATTGGGAGATCGGGGCCTTGCTCAGGGGCCCAACCGTGACATCACTGTGCTGACTGTGGGATTCAAACCAGCAACCATCTGATCGCAGGCACAACAGCCTAAACGACTGAACCACAGACCAACACAAACATGGCCACAAAGAGTGTGGTTAACATGGAGATATGTATCTAGAAAGGGTTGAGGACAGTGAGCTGGCTGGAGCAGACAGTAGCATCGCACATGAGCTTGAAACATCACAACTGTAGGTCTCCCAGCCTCAGGCGGTCTTTCCAACCTCCTGGATCAGGCATATTCCTGTCCTCCCACCATCTTCCCCCTGGAGTTTGCCGTTTCCATATATCACCTCCCACGTGGGGCTCCTCTTTTCACCACATCCTTCCAAGCCTCTCTTCCTTAATGGCTTTTATGGGGTAATTATACACCATGCAGAAGGCAAGGCTTTGGGAGCGCAGAAATCGGCCGAATGGAGGCACCGGCGATTTTCAGATTTCAGTCATGTAGTAAATCAGGCGACTGAAAAACACAACCCTGGTGGAGGACCAGCAGACGTCCATGACTCACTGAAAGCTAAGCTGCCAATGGAATGTAACCCTGCCAGGATGACTGTATATTTCACTGGTGATGTATCACTGGACACAGCAACACAATGCACAAGGCCTCCTCGTCACAGCAGGCCCTTCAGTCTCCACCCCACATGCTGACAATGTGTTTTAATAACAGGAGCCTCCTAAGGACATTGTTTGAATGCAAGGCAAAGTCCGTGTTTGCATGCATGAGGTAGAAAATAAGTTACCATGGAGGCGGTTTGCCTGAAATACACCGAACGCTCGGCCACAGAAGACAGAGTAGCCATCTTTGAGGGAATTGCAACTTTCAGCAGCGCATGATGGAGAACGCTGCCTCAGTTTGAAAGGGCTGGACTGGAAGCTCTTCAAATTGCCAGGATTTATTATTAAAATAATTAAAGCTGATCGATCTGTTTCCATACTTCGCTTTCTGCACTGTAAGACGTCAGCATTGGCTGAGACAGAGATGTTATTAGAAAAGACTGGGGGGTTCACTTTCTAAATTAATAATCAAGGTGATTATGACCAGAAAAATCAGACTGAAACATTCATAAGCTGCCACATGTGCCTTACATTAGGCCTGAATCATTTTTTCCTTGGCATTCTTTATAATAAAGAGGAAGCATTTGTGAAACAGGAAGGCAGGTATATAAGACAGAGCATTTCCCCTGGAAGGTGTTTTGTAATAGGTTAGTTAGTTCCTGTATATTTTCTGGATATCTTTTTTTCTGGAATAGTTTTGTGTTCCAGGAAAAGGCCAGAAAAACTTGAATGAGAATGATTGTATCATGAACCTTTAAATTTTTTGGAACAAATCTTTAATCAGTCAACTTACACAGTCCAAAAACAGAATCACATGTTACCTCTCAAGAGTGTTATAATTTACTACAAACTTTGACACAAATACTACCTGAGCAGATGTGGGTAGTTCAAGTCCAGAAAGTACAAATCCAGACCAATATTTTGTTTAGACCAACCAGCTGAGTACTCTGTGACTGTGACTCTTTATACTCACCTGGTTGGTCAAAACAAAATGTTGGTCTGGATTTGTACTTTCTGAACCTGAACTATCCACCTCTGTACCTAAGGCCCCTACAGACAGACAGACAGACACGCAAAGGTTTGTAATTATATCTTTGTGGGGACTCTCCATTCATTTCTATGGAGAAAACTAATCACAATATGGCAACCCTAACCCCTACCCAGCCCTAATCTAAACCATAAGTAACCAAACAAAATACAAGACTTTTGGCATTTCTACTTTTTTTTTATTGCATACACAGATCTTTGTGGGGACCTGAAACATGGTCCCTTCAAGGTCAAATTAGCAGGCTTTTATTATTGTGGAGAACATTTGGTCTCCACAATGTAAGATAAACCCAATCACACGCACACACACACACACACACACACACACACACACACACACACATACTTCCTGCAGACTGATCTCTTTAATGGTATTTCCTGCTGGTTATCATATTATTCGATTGTCATTCACTTAGTGTTT